GACACTTGCTATATTGCTGTTAGAATGGAAATGGTATCTGTTCTTAGTCTTCCCTGCTATATAGAACGTTTTGTTTTGCTCTTCAGATCAGATTAATTTAAATCTAAAATATTTCAAGGGAAACAAGTCCCCCGCATTTGAAAATATAAATGGATTGTTAAACGCGCGCCGTGATAATCTGTTCAGTCTGTTGCTATTTTAAAACTCCGCCTGGTGCAAACAAGCTTGATATGAACGGGAGCGAGTGAGAATTCAAAGCAAAACTAGAAATCACATACCGATACTCCAGCCCCAGCCAGCAAAATTAACAGATTTACGGCAAACATGGCAACGTTTTCTAGTCTAGTCAACTGCAATGAGCTGCACTGACAGTCCTCACTGTTATACAAAGTGGCTGATGTCTGTTCGGTGCACGTTTTTTGCCAGCTGAATGCTACGTGGCACACGTACACGCACACCACCACAAACCAATCAAATACAAGATGATGTCACCGATTGTTAGTGTAATAGTTAGGGGAAGCCCCTTTCAATGTTAACTAACATATCGAATGCCTGTTTCTTATAGAATGGTCTGTTTTTATGCCGATACCCTGAGGATCCCTGTGTCCATAATGTGTTTAAAATAGCTATTTTTAATCAGTATCTGTCTTCAGTCAACAGTAGCTAAGACCAGCTAAGCCGCACGGAGATTCTATTAAAGAGAGAATCAAGCGTGGAAGAGCTATTGGTTCTCAAGATTTAATTAAGGGATTCTTAATTCTCAGTGAAAAATAAATAACATAGTAAATGATTGAACAAAATGCTTTCCAGATGTACGTTGATAAAGGGCTAGAAAACACAAACTGTGTCATCTTTTTTCTCGTTTTGAAAGTGTTAGTGAAATCACAATATTGACGACAGTATCGCATTTGTTATGTACTTGTACATGTACAAGTACATAACAAATGCGATACTGTCCTCAATATTGTGATTTCACTAACACGATTACTTTCAAAACGAGAAAAAAGATGACTCAGTTTGTGTTTTCTAGCCCTTTATCAACGTACATCTGGAAAGCATGTGGATTTTTATTCTTTTCTCGAGTACAAAAATCAATCAATGAAAAGCTTTAAGTTTACAATTAAGAATTCTAATGCACCAGCAAACAAATTCACAACAAATTATTCACTTATGGAGACCGAACTTCCTGCACGCATATTGGTAACATTCCATAGGTCAATGTTCGACCCAAAGCAAAGAATTAACCAAAGTTGTAAGCCTGAATTTCTCATAATTCGATCACAATTTGTCCTTGCCCAGCGAACCAGAGGCTGTTACGAAAGGGAATTATTTTTCTATGTAAAAAAAAAGTATACTAACATACTTGTATTTCATTTGTAGAGTATTTTAAATGGCGATCATTTTTTTTAGTTGACATACGTGTTTGATGCAGGCAGCAGGCAGGATTTCATAACTTCTAGACACGCGATTACAAATGCGTGATTTGAACATAACTATCAACAAGGCCCGAGTTAACAGGTTTCAGGAAAGATGTTTCTGGAGGTTCTTACTTACATGCCTTGCAAGCGGCTTGGTCCATAAACTTGTAAAAAACAAAAAAAAAACTATAAATATTTCTCCAACAAGGACCTCACGCTAGTTGAATAACATTTAATTATACAAACAGCATCAGCAGCTCATCAAACTGTACTGTTTGCTTTTTGTTCTCATCACTTTAAAAACAACTATCATCACTTGTACATTACTTGTACATGTACAAGTACATAACAAATGCGATACTGTCGTCAATAGTGTGATTTCACTAACACGATTACTTTCAAAACGAGAATAAAGATGACTCAGTTTGTGTTTTCTAGCCCTTTATCAACGTACATCTGGAAAGCATTTTGTTCAATCATTTACTATGTTATTTATTTTTCACTGCGAATTAAGAATCTTGAGAACCAACAGCTCTTCCATGCTTGATTCTCTCTTTCAGAATCTCTGCGCGGCTTAGCTACTGTTGACTGAAGACAGATACTGATCAAAAATAGCTATTTTAAACATATTGTGGACACAGGGATCCTCAGGGTATCGGCATAAAAACAGACCATTCTATAAGAAACAGGCATTCGATATGTTAGTTAACATTGAAAGGGGCTTCCCCTAACTATTACACTAACAATCGGTGACATCATCTTGTATTTGATTGGTTTGTGGTGGTGTGCGTGTACGTGTGCCACGTAGCATTCAGCTGGCAAAAAACGTGCACCGAACAGACATCAGCCACTTTGTATAACAGTGAGGACTGTCAGTGCAGCTCATTGCAGTTGACTAGACTAGAAAACGTTGCCATGTTTGCCGTAAATCTGTTAATTTTGCTGGCTGGGGCTGGAGTATCGGTATGTGATTTCTAGTTTTGCTTTGAATTCTCACTCGCTCCCGTTCATATCAAGCTTGTTTGCACCAGGCGGAGTTTTAAAATAGCAACAGACTGAACAGATTATCACGGCGCGCGTTTAACAATCCATTTATATTTTCAAATGCGGGGGACTTGTTTCCCTTGAAATATTTTAGATTTAAATTAATCTGATCTGAAGAGCAAAACAAAACGTTCTATATAGCAGGGAAGACTAAGAACAGATACCATTTCCATTCTAACAGCAATATAGCAAGTGTCAAATTCATTTAATCTAACCGGAAAAACCGGTTCCGCTTGTTTATGCTCCGCAACGTGCCTCACGCTATACCTGCATGGAAACATCCTGCGAGAAAATTAGGGCTGAGAAAGCCGGATGCTCTCGCAGGCTATAATTATGCAACTTACTGGCTATCAAACGGTCGACAAATCTGGCTTAAATTGCATAAGTTGCTGATAATACGTCCAGAGTCCAGAGTTATAAGGCTCTGTATATTTTAATATACACTGATAGGTTTTGTCACAGTGATTGATAGGGCATGTGCGCACTATTGAAAACGTCGGAATTCAATGGGCGGAAATCATCGGAAGAACTTTTTTCTGAATATCATTTTCCAGTTGGGCAGGAGGAACCCTCGAGGCTCCGCAGATAAACCGCCGTTTTAGACTTGTAAGCAAGGTTTTGGACGTGTGCTCTNAATCATTTTTTTGCTCTCGTTATTAATTTGAAACGCGAAGCATATGTAACATGGTTACGTCTCAGAGCGCCTGGACGGGCCACTATGAGGTTTCGATTTTGTAAAACAAAGAAAAACAAAAACGCTAATTTCGTCGTTTCCAAATTAAAGTTTGTGTTGCGCAAAGACTGTATCGCATCTCAGACCACCCGTAAACACACACCGTACATGCCTTTTCTTAAAATAGCTGTCAAACATATATAGTTTAACTTGATTGATTTTACGATATTGTTTTCGAAATGCAGAGAATTTGTGTTAGCAATAAACAAAAGCTATGTCGTGAATAGATCACAATTGCTCATCGAATGAAAAGATCAATATTACCACAGGGATCAAATAGCCGAAAAATATTTGCAATGAAAGCTGTCAATAACACGATTTTCATCATTGTGAAGTGGACTGATTTGGAATTGAAAACAAAAGAAGGGCCACCAAAGAACCGCTCGTGAAAACACGGCTAATTTTTTACAAACCATTAGGGCTACAGGAATGCTTGTTTTATTCTATATGACCCTTGATGGATTAGGAAAGATATCTCGTTCGTATTCTTTCAAAGCAAAAAGAAACATTTAAATTATGCCGTTACTGCTTTACCCTGCGAGAAAGAGATTCCCTTCTCTTTCTGCTCAGCGAGACACGAGGTCACGACTTCAGACACGATAACCGTATAAAAGCTCTGTGTGGTAGACGAAACTATTTTAAAACAGATTGTTTACGATTCACTACTATCGCCTAAACGCAGAAGACAATTGGTTATAAGCTTCAAATGATATCGCCTTAATGACGGATTTAATAATTGTAGCAGAAATCCGGGGTACCTTGCTTTTCGAATTGCATGCCGAAAGAGCAGTTTTTTTTTGTTTATTTTTTATCAGAAAGGTTCGAGCAATATTGATGTCTGTCTGTTTAGGCTGTGCTGTGTTTCAATTTTAATATAAGTTAAAACGTAACCCTCAGTTTATTGTTATTTCTTTACTGTGTTTTGTGAGAAAAAGTTCGCTAGTCGAGTTTTTGCACGTCGTCTTTAAAAAAGACCCTCTAAAGCGCGGTTGTTGAAGTTGTGTGTTTTCGCAATCATTTACAAATTAAGGCTATCAAAGTCAACACATTTGAAAGTCAGTTTCATGTGGCCACTGTTTTTTTATAGACAGTTTGAAGTGGCGTTTTAAGTTGATCATAGCAAAGACTTCTATTGCATGTACTTGAAATAAAATAAATACCCCATAAATCGGGCTAATCTTCATGTAATTGACTTGATTTAAAAAAAAGTTTCTCTTGTTTAGAGCATTCACACACGACTAAATTTGCCTGATTTTCTTTCCTCTATCAGTTAAGTACACTCGTCTGCGAACTTACAATCTTAAGTGTGAAATATCTCTGAACTCGAAGTGGTGCACTGTTAAATTTGAGAGCGAGTCGCGCCAGATCTGTCAGATCGCAATGATTAAAAAGCGCTGCAGAGTTGACTTCGGTATTTAGTTTCAAAAGGACTTGTTTTCTCCCAAAATCACCAGTTTGTAACTCGTGTTTTTGTCTGCTCGTCTTTCCTGTTCTGACTCTTCATTGGGCATTAAGGCCATGACGAACGAAGAGCTTTTCTGTGATTGAATTCTTTTCAATCTGCAGGATATAATCCAAGGAGGCAAGAGGTTCAAATGATTTTATATACCACTCAGGTGTTTTAATTTTCCTATGACGATGATGATGACGATGGCGATGGCGAGGACGAGGACGAGGACGAGGACGAGGACGAGGACGAGGACGAGGACGAGGACGAGGACGAGGACGATGACGAGGACGATGACGATGACGATGACGATGATGATGATAATGATGATCATTATTATTATTATTTTAACTTTTAGCTGGCGGCCGTTGATGACTGCCCCCAGTTACAATTCTGGAATGGGGCTTTCTGTGTTTCCTGTTCGCCTTGCCCTCCTGGCTACGGCGTCGAAACAAAATGTTCGCAAAAATCGGACACGGAGTGTCAGGCCTGTCAACCGGGATTCGATTATTCTGATACCAGTGGATTTGAAAGTTGCTTTGGGTAAGTCTTTAGTAACAGGAAAGGGTTTTATTTCAATAGAGTTAACGAATTGTAGTATCGCTTTGATTCGTCGTATAGGGATCATGAGTGAACACTACAAAGTTGATGATTTGCGTATGACTGTCAAATAGCCAACACAACAAAGTCAACTTTATTGAAACAGGGTAGCCCTTTCATCACTAGCTAGGCTGATATCAGCTGGAGTCCTGCATGGCTATTATAATATAAGTATCCATATACATAACAAAGTTAGAAAGTCTAATTAAGTCTAATAACAATATAATGTTCAATGAGAGTTAGGAAACACGTCTTATGATTATCAAATGAGACAGACCACTTAGCTTACAAAATCAGTCGAAACTTAAACTAAGAAGAAAAAGGAGCATTAAAATCTTAAAAATCTATGCTAGTTAAGATCAAATATCCAAACACCGTGACAATCTTGGTTTCCTTTGATTAAATTTAATGAATTATTAATAATTTGAGAATTTACAATAAAGGTGGCAAAAAGCGAGAAAATAAACTATGGTACGATTTTATTTTGTAAGACTGGCTTAGCCATTATAACTTAAACTCATAAACGTATCTCCTGTTTGAAAAATCTATTCTTCCTTGTTAGATGCGACGAGTTTTCAAATTGCCCCTTAGTCAATGCGAAAGAAGTTAGAAAATGCACCGTTTACTCCAAACGGGTTTGCGATGGTTGTCTTGATGGTTATTTTTATAACCCCGGCACTGGAGGGTGCCAAGAATGTTCGTCGCCTTGCGGCTTTCATCAAGATGAGACAAGACCATGTACCACCAATCATGACAGGACCTGTTCACCGAAAACCACTGAATCGACAATTCTGGCCACTAGTAAGTTTATTTTCCTTATTCACGTGTTTTCCTTTCTAGTCTGCTTACCGAAGACGCACGATCAACTAATTACCTGGACCTTAATAACTGTGTAGTAGATATGATGTTGGAATCAATTGAAGCTATATATATTAGCTTATATTCACATACAGACATCAGTAGCAAACTCGAAATAGGACATAAGTTGAACATTTCTTCTTTTTTTAAAAGGCGCATTTCAAGTAGCAAAGGCTTTTTGAAGAAATGGATTTTAAGTTGATTTATTCGTCTAGGAGTCTTATTTAAGGAATAGAAAACATGTTCCCCGTGTTTATATCGACGAATGGAAATTTGAGAGAACGAGAGGCAGCTTTTTCCAGTTCTCCCAGACTTCCACTCGTGTTTCTGTAACTCGATAAAAACACGGAAAACATATGTTTTCTATTTATTTGCTTACTTTGATCATCAAAATTTAAATTCTCTTTAACCGCGTCATCATTACGTCAACAGCTCTTACTAGTTCTGTGTTTCCATCGAGTGATAGAAACCCGATTGTAAACCAATCAGCGCGCGTATTTTCTTTGGGATACAACTGTATTTTCTAATATATATGATTTTTTAGCCTGATGTGATTCTTCAACAGATTCTACACTGAAAGTCTCCAAAAGTATTTTCAGGCCATCGACAAAACCACGAACTCCACGAAATCAAATTGATGCAGATTCTCCTTCACCACAGGAAACCACAACAGTTGAAAATCATTGGCTTTGGATCGGCATTGGTGTGGTTGTGGCTTTGGTTGTAGCAATGATTATTTTAATGATTTGTAGATACAGAAGAAACAAAAGAAACCAGAAAGGTCAAGGAAATCGTGGTGCAAATGTCGGGACAGACTGGGAAGAAAGACGAGATACGCAAGAAAGTATTCCGCTGATGCTAGGTGATAATAGCGAGTGTTTTATTTATATATAAACCCACATACCCACCCCTCTCCAGGTCCAACCCCTTCCCCTTGCAGAGAGATAAATGTACACAGAAGAAACTGTAGTTGATGTTATTTTTGAAGACACCGAACTCTACCACGCCCTTATTACCTTCAAACTATCCTCGAAGCTTCACTTCTCGGGTAGCTTTTAAAATTTGCAGGCAATTTTTCAGTTCAGTCTCCAGTGCCTCCAGCAATACTCTATAATTGTTTAATTAATGATAAAACTTTTTGCTGTTCTCGCTATTATGCATACAGTGCGTATTGTTCTCAGATACTAAGGGTTCCTTTTTTGTTTTTCATTCTCTACTTTCGTTGTTTCCTTTTTCCAGGTTTGGATCTTCCCATTAAAGATCTTAAAATCGACGGGAAAACGTTTATAGCCCAGAGGCTCAATGGCAAAGACAACTACGGTAAGCAGATCTTTGTTATGCACATAGTTCTGTCTGCTTGATACTGTTTAGCGTCCTTTTTTTCATCATAATTTGCGGGT